CATACTGCTACCTGAGAGGACAAAGACATGTCATTGTTGGTTGCCACTGCTACATGTGCCGTTTATGGGACTACGTTGCCTCTGATGCACATTGCGCTTGCACCGCATTCCAAACTCTCTGTTCCACATTACTTTTGCTGCTTGCTCATCCTTGGAAGACACCGATGTATTGAACATACTGGAAGACTTGCTTAAGATTCAGCAGAACAATTTTAAGGACTTAGTTTAAGAGTGATGCCTCGATTTTGCCTCTTTGTCTCCAAGGTTGGAGACTTTATTTTTCATTTTAATGTGACTGAACTCAACTTTCATTTTCGAGCTACCTACGTACCCTTTCCGAAAAAGAGATCAAGTCATCACGAAGTTCAAATATGTTTGTTTTTTTTTTTTTTGTCTTTTTTTTTTGTCCTAACTTTTGCATGAGCCACCCTTTCGGCGTTTTAACTCAACAAACTTTTTTCTTGGGTGTCGTACGCAGTTTATGCTCTTGCGGGCTAGAAACATTTCTTGTTCTCAAGCGTAACATTGCTTCAAACGTGGCAAAGCATTCTTGAAGTCGTTAACGGTTGCTTACCCCCAGTTCTCGGGTGGTGGAACTTCTTTAACATCTTCTCCCGACCTATTCGACTGCGACATGGTAAAAGGCTCGTTGGCTCAAATATTGACCAATATGTATGATTGTGCGTCATTTCACCTTGAGCTGACCATCCAAACTCACGTCTAATGTTGAACAACGTTTCAAGCGTGAAATGATTAGATTGCAAATTCCATCATCTTTGGCTAGGTCAACGAGTCATTTTCCTTCCGATATCACTTATTTTTCCCCATAAGGCTCATTTACAACTTTGAGTCTCTCCAAAGCTGACCTTCATGAGGGAGAACTAGTTGCGTTTTCATGTCCAGCAAAATTGGTCAACCTGTTAAACACAGAACCTCGAGAGGCAGGTGCACCGAGTCGATTGAAGACGGAAGTCCAGGCTTGACCATCGATATGATCAAACACAGAAGTTCGCGACTTTTGAACCTTATACTCTTTCTTGTGCACTGATTGTGTCACCTTTATGGCTGCTATGGGGCGGGTTTTCTCAGTGTTGCAGTGAGAACTTGCCTTTTGTCTCTCATTCCTTGCTCGAGCAACTTGTGGTTGCGGCTTACGCACCTTCCTTAGGGTCATCAACGACCGTCCTTCATTGTCATTGACTGAAGGACCGTCGATGAGGTTAACGTCGTTGAGATAACTTCCTCTGTCAATGGTGTTTGTTTTGTCTGCATTAACCACTTTAGGCTTTACCCTTGCTGACTGCGGCCATAACATGATTGGCGATGCATGGAAAACCATATGATCAAGGGGTTCAAGTACGACACTTGTCGTATTTGCCGTTGCCGTTTCTTCAAAGCACTTTCCTTCTTGGGTGAGCTTCATGATTAATTCCTTAAGAACAAAGCACTTTCTCATCGGATGACTAACGACGCAATGGTACTTGCAATACTTTGGATCGTTTATGCGATTCATTTCTTCTGGCTGCTTGTACTCGGGTAACTTAATCACCTTCTTGTCGAGCAAATCCTCCAACATGGCAGCCACATTGGTGTCGAAGAATGGGTAAGTTTTCTCTTCAAACTCCTTCAAAGTGCATTTGTACCTTTACTGATAATGAAAAGTTTCTTTCCGCTTCACCTCTTCCTTTTTGTCTCTTGTGGAGATTATGACTAGAGCTTGTTAACCATCATTGCTTCCTTGGCAGGCTCCTTCACAGACTTGTCCATTTTATGCCCAAAGAATTTGTCTTTCTTATACTCGGTGATCGGCTTTTTCTTTCCATGATTGGCGATGCTTGACTCCATGTCATGGGCGTGGGTAACTAACTTTTCAAAGGTCCAGGGCTTAATGCCTTGGAAAATGTAGTGTAATCCCCAATGCATGCCTTGTATGCACATCTCAATCGAGGAGATCTCCGAGAGTGTCTTTGCAGTCGAGACTCAATGAGTGTCATCGGTTGATATAGTTGACAACTGGCTCGTCCTTCCATTGCTTTGTATTTGTAAGCTCTATCATGTTGACGGTGCGATATGTGCTGTAAAAACAGTTCAAGAATTCTTGCTCCATCTGCTCCCAATTGTTTATGGACTTAGGTTCTAGGTCTGTGTACTAATCGAACGCGTTTCCCTTCAAAGAATGGACAAATTACTTTACGAAGTAGTCTCTCTCCGTCCTAGTGTTGTTGCAAGTTTCGACGAAATGAGCGATGTGTTGCTTTGGGTCCCTTTCTGTCAAACTGCATGAATTTTGGTGGTTGGTACCCCATCGGCATCCGTAAGCTATCAATCATCTTGGTGTATGGCTTGGAGTACATCACTGCATCCCTCGAAGTGCCTCTATATTGTGCCTTGATGGTGTTTGTGATCATGTCTTGAAGTTGTTGAATGGAAAGAGAGCCCATTGATGTAGCTTCGAACTCTAGCTTTTGTTTCCCTCCAACTTTGTCAATATGATGCGCTTCTTCCTCGCCAGACTCCTCGTCATGCTGATTCTTCTTTGGGATAGGTTGGCTTCTCTATCATGCTGCGATTCCAACCTACTCATGAGCATAGCGATCTGCATGTCTTTCTCCTTAACGGTCTTTGTCAGCTTTGCGATCGACTCATTCATCTATGCAAGTTGCTCCTCAATGGAGGTGGTGCTGGTAGTTATAACTTGCGCAACCAAAGAATATGACTCTCTTGCAGACATCGAGGGTGCTGACGAAGTCTCCGTGCCATGGTTACTGGTTGGTGATCTGCGGTAAGATCCTGCGCTTAAGTCTGTGTCTGAGCCTAGTGATAAGAAGCGCTCCCTCGAGTCCTTCGAAGACAAAGAATCTCGCTTGTCGCTTTGGGATGTCATCTTGCATGCCACATCAGCATGCTTTAGTGCCCTCAGCGAGGCTAGGTTGATGACGGACGCGCGCCTCTGTTGCTCTCCTTGCTCCCTCAATGACATTAGCTTAGAAGGGGTGCGTTGCAATGTGGTTACTGCCTTTGCCTTGCTTTGAGTTGTGACGTTGACAGATTCTCCACTTGCAGTTGAGGCGCTCAAATTCTTTGCCTTGGTGACGATGATGGCTTGACTCTTCTTGGAAGCCATCGATTTCGAAGTGTGTTTGGATTTCTTAAATAAAGAAAGATATGAGATGCAGAGATTATCCCACTGGGTGTGCCAAATTTGTAAACTTGAAAATCCTATGACAAATGAGACAAGAACACATGTACAAAGTAAATGTTTGTATTAATGAATTTGTAGGGTTACAATCTCTTTACAACTTGATCATCTGATTCGATCTTCGAAATGTGTAGATGTGTAGTGTTGTTGATCCAAGGGTCGCGATGACTTGATCTTGGATGAACGAATGCCGCAAGGTTTTAGCTCTTGGCAATGGAGGAACCGACACATGTAGGGGTGTTTGGTGATTCTTCAAGGGATTTGACGAAGAACACGAAGGATTTTCCGAGTCTTCTCGAGTGTTTGAGTGTTTGGGGGGGGGGGGAGGGGGTTTGAGTGCTTGAAAGCTTCAGAATTTCAAAGATTCAGCGTCTGGGCGTGAAATGATTTATGGACCATTTTCTTTGTCTTGGAGCCTCCTATTTATAGACTTTCCAAGCCTTGGCTACGGATGGATTTGGCCTTGATTGTGGGCTTGATTAATTGACAAAAGAACCAAGGCTTGATTTGTGGGCCGGTTCGTGATATGACTCTATCAATTAACATTTGATTTAATTAAATTAAAATAAAAAAATTCCTTTCCGCCGAGTGTTAACATGTGTCATTCTTGATGACTCGTCCGATTTTCTTGAGTCACACGCCATGTGTACAATTTGTGCAACACGTGGCATGTGCTACGTATGCTCTGGCTTGTCAGAACTTTTATGCGTTGATGAATATTTATTTCATCGAAATTTCGATGTCTACAAATACACAGATTTTAGGCCAAATATTGACTATAAAAACAGTGACGATCATGCTGTGATCAGAATCGGTGACAGTCCTAAATAGATGTCTCGACGCACCGTGAATCTCATGGCATTTGTGATTGGCATAGAGGGCCAGACATGGGTATGTTGCACATAAAGCTTTGACTCATTGCTAACAATTGCAAATAACCTTAGTAGAGTCAAGGTCAACCACCAACGAGAGAAAAGACTCAGAGAGAGTAGAAACAAGTAGCTAGACACCAGTTGATAGTCTTATACCACGCAACATATTAAGGACTAGGCTTGGTAGGAGTATCATCAACAATAAGAAGGTTAGTGTCGGACGCAGTGAATGAGCTATCAGCATGAGAGAAAAGATCATGATTAATAAAAAAAGGAACACATTTGACACGTCTAATTGAGAAAATTGGTTTCCGTAAGCTTGAAGAAGTGAGGCTGCAGCACACTAGGATTTACAACCTTAACTCATTGATACCATGTAGAAATTATAATCATAGCACTGTTGGAAATTTTGAGAAATTTTAAGTAAAAATTTCATTGTCCTACATTGGTCATTATCAAAAGGTTCCCTCACTTTATAAGGCTTTGTTCCTTATAAAAAATTATTGGAGTGGTGGATCATGGAGAATAAAATTGGGCTCAACCTTGGAGTTGAGCTTTGGGATGTACTAATTAATTGATAATTAATATATAATTAATAAAATTCTTTAATTAATTATTTTAATTAATTCGGATTTAATTAATTAATTATTTTTTATATCAACATACTCATCTTTTCAGATGAAGTCTGAAGTGATGAAAGAACGCCAAAGAGCAAAGCACCCCTCTAAGAAGATGTCTCCCAACAGACTATCTCATTCTCATACCAGAAGTCACTTAGATCGTTGAATCCTGATGAAGCAGATGTCTGTAGAACTACAAGTACTGAATAGGGACGAAATTTCTGTTTCTAGAACATTGTTGTACGCAAGCTTAGATTTTCAATTTGTCTGTTTAATAGTATTTCATTTTGTTCATATTCTATTAAATTATTTATTAACATATATAAATTTATCATTGATTGTTGATATTTATTCAACAAACACAAAGGCTCATACATATACAATCGTAGGTACTTGACATACTACAAATCAGGAATACAATTAGAATAACATTACAATATTAATTCCGAGATATTATTTCCTTAGACAAGACTCCTCCTCTAACACCTTCCCCTTTTTCTCCTTTTGTAAAGAGAGAGGAGGAATGGAAACATGAGTGCCAATCTGGGATCATGTAAACTATTAGTTCTTGAGTTTTATTGCAAATTGAATTCGGAAATTAGCTTGTAAATTGAAAGGATTGATCGGAGAACATACCGTATGTCTAGAGTATAGCAACTCTGTGACAGGGAATCGATCGACATGCCGTTAACACAACAACTGTGTACGCAACAAGAGCTAAGAAACCAGGCAGATGAACGCACGCCTCTGATACGTTTTCGCACTATCGCTCCTCAATTTCTCCTGCTGCGGCGGCGGCTGCTGCTGCTCCAGCTGCCGATCATCCGAGGAGGAGAAAATCACAATTTGTAGGTGAACTAAGTCTTGCTTAAGAAAATTGATCTCGAAATAACGTTGCGTACGCTCCCATTTCGTGACGAAACTCTTGAAGGGGATGGCGAAGACGACGCAAATCAGACACGAGAGGGTGAAGGGCGCCCACCAGAATTCGCACGACAAGTTTGGATTGTGGCTAACAGAATGGAATATGAAGCTTTGAAGGTAGATATAACCGCAAACCAGCAGCATCGCCGTTGTTTCCAGACGCCTTACTGTTTGCTCTTGTTTTTCGCCGACGCCTTCCAGTTTATTCCATTCGTTCTCCGCCTTGTCTAGTTCTTGATGGCGGATTATTCTTCTGTTTTCCATGCGAAGAAAAGTTTTCCGGCAAAGAGGAGCTCCTACTGCGGCGGGAGAAGAAGAAGGAACCGGTAGGTGGGTGTATGTATTGACAAAATAGCGAAAAGAGGGTGGAATTGCGCAAATGATGGGTTTCTTCAAAGAAAATGTTCAACAACTTCTGCGAAAACGACAACCCGTGTGCCGTGCTCCATTAGTATAAAGAAAAGATCCCGAGCTTTTTCTTTAAGCGGTGTGCTGAGCATCATTTCATCCAGGGGTGTGTTATTCACGTCCATATTCATTTCTCACACCTTTTATTAATTTATGTTCTTTAATGGTCATCAATTTATTCAATTAGATGGTCGAAAATTAAAAGAATGTGTAGGAAGTAAAAAAAGATGTGTGAATATCACACCTCTTCGTCAAAACTTGCGGCGTCTGCCAAAGATTTTTCTTTAACTTTATTCGGGTTTTAAGTGTTTTGCACTCTAAATTTCTGCTCACGCCTTGCAGCGAGACTGAAATTTCTATGAAAGATTATGTGAAATATACAAAAGATTGTGTTATAAAAGAATTAAGGGTAAAGTACAAAAAACTACATCAACTATTGGTGTCACGACACTTTCATAGCTCATCTTTTAAAATTGACAATGTCATACCTCATCTTACGAATTTGTGCCAATGTCATACATCCGTCAGTTTTTCTATTAATTTCTCAGTTAATTGCTGACGTGGCTTGATCCGAGACCTATTTTCTATTAAAAAATTATTAAAAAAAAATCATTTAATATTTTTTAAATATTAAAATAATAAAGAAAAGTTAAAAACAAAAAAAAAAAAAAAAAAAAAAAAACCCAACATCAATTCGTCCCCTTCCCCCTTCTCTCTTTTCTCCCTATCTTCTTCTTCTTCAACCTTCCTGCAACTTCAACCCAAAAAAAAAAAAAAATCAATTTGTCTTCCCCACTCCCCACCCCCTCTTCTCCCCGCACCCACTATCCGCACCCAACCTACCCACCTTCCCACCCACCCTCTGCACCCAACCTTGCACCCAATACCTGCAACCCAAAAAATAAAAAATAAAAAAAAACCCATATCTCGTTGAGAACTTGGGCGCAGAGAAAATGGGGGGAATGGATGTGGAAGGAAAAAGGTGGGCACGTGGGGGGATGGACGAACTGAGTATCCTTCCTTTTTTTTTTTTCCTTCTCTCTCTTTTTCTTCTTCTTCTGCAGGTTGGGGGGGGGCAGGGACCTTTTTTTTTCTTTTCCTTCTCTCTCTTCTTCTTTTGCAGGTTGGGCGGGGGGGGGAGTTTTGTTTTGTTTTTTTTTTCTTTTTTCTGGGTTGCAGCAAGGGACCTTTTTTTTTTTTTCCTTCTCTCTCATCTTCTTCTGCAAGTTGGGCGGGGGGGGGGGGTTTGTTTGTTTGTTTTTTTTTTCTTTTTTCTGGGTTGCAGCAAATAGGGGGAAGAAGAGGAAAGAAGATGAAGATGGGAGAGAAGAGAGAGGGTGCCGGGGGGAAGGGAGTTTTGTTTGTTTGGTTTTTTTTTTTTCTGTCTGGGTTGCAGCAAATAGGGGGAAGAAAAGGAAAGAAGATGAAGATGGGGGAGAAAAGAGAGGGCACCTGGGGGGTAAGGGACAAATTTTGTTTTGTTTTTTTTTTTCTTTTTTCTGGGTTGCAGTAGGTAGGAAGAAGATGAAGGGAGATGAAGATGGGGGAGAAGAGAAAGGACGCAGGGGGAAGTTTTGTTTGGTTTTTTTTTTTTTAATAACCTTCTTTATTATTTTAATATTTAAAAAATATTAAATGATTTTTTTTAGTTTTTAATAATTTTTTAATAGAAAGTGGGTCCCGAATCAAGCCAAGTCAGCAATTAACTGAAAAATTAACAGAAAAATTGACGGAGGTATGACATTGTCACAAATTCGTAAGATGAGGTATGACATTGTCAATTTTAAAAGATGAAATATGAAAGTGTCGTGACACCAATAGTTGAGGTAATTTTTTGTACTTTACCCAAGAATTAATGTTATTTACATTGAAAACGTTGGGTAGATATTTATATACTAAAGATTTAACCAGAGGCAATCAATGTGACTTTGGATTGTTCTGCAGTGTCCTGATTTCGGTGCCAAGTCCATGGTATCGTTTGGTATGCAGATGAGACGGGATGGAACAGAATGGGACAAGACAGGACGGGACGGAACAGAGAGAGAGCAAAGATGCCCTCAGATGGAAACAAGGAGGAAGAAGAAGGAGACAAAGATGTTATAATTTTGTATTCCACGGATGTGGAACGAGTTGTTCCAGGGGGTGAGGTGAAACGAAAATTCACCCAAAATTCGTCCCGTGGAACAGCGCGTTCCACCCGTTTTAGGCGCACCAAACGTGGGACGGAACGCCTCGTCTCACTCTGTTCCATCCCGTCCCACATACCAAACGGTACCTAAAGTACGAGTCTTATTTTTCACCTGCAAGTCGCATAGGAATTCGAATTTAATTAATGAACTTTAGAAATGAGGTCGTGTTGGGACACATTCAACTATAATCTAACTGATAATGTTACTCAAATCACAACATATATAGGTGCATTACTAATGATTAGTGTTTAAATTTTTTTTGATACGGTCAATATTTTCATAGAAATAACCAAAAAAATTAGAGGAAAATATGAAAATGGAGGTGACTTCACCTCATATCGGAGAAACTCTTAAAAAGTTTTGTCTAAAATCGACATATATAATCGATATTTCTGACACATCTATTATATTTTCATGTAAACACATTCATCACTAGGGCTCTCTTCAAAATCATATGATGAAACCAATGTTTGACAACACTCAAAGTTTCATTTTAAATTTTCATCATTTCCATCGAAAACAACCATATCGATATCGACATTCACATTCGATATACCCGTCGATATTTTCACAAATTTGCATACCAATATTTCCACCAATATCGATATTTTAGGCATTGCTACTAGGTACGATGCAAGAATTCTAAGAACTTCATTAACTCTATGACTAATGAATGTAGATTTAATAGTTTAATTCTAATGGTACAAAATTGTTCTCTATGCCAAGAGAAATTTTCAAAAGCATAAAAATAGACAATTAAGAAGTAGCTGTAAACACGAAAATTCTACGACAAACGAGAAAAGAACACGTGTACAAAATAAATTTGTTGTTAATGAATTTTTAGGTTACAATCTCTTTACAACTTGATCCTCTGATTTGATCCGTAAGGTGTAGATGTGTGATGTTGTTGATCTAAGGGTCACGATGACTTGATCTTGGATGAATAGTTGCCTCAAGGGTTTAGCTTGCGGCGAAGGAAGAACCAACCCGTGTAGTGGTGCTTGTTGATTCTTCAAAGGTTGTTGATCCAAGAATTGTGATGACTTGATCTTGGACGAATGGTTGCCTCAAGGATTTGGCTTGCAACAAAGGAAGAATTGACACATGTGGTGGTGCTTGTTGATTATTCAAAGGTGTTGGCGAAGAACGAAGAGTGCATTCTCGATTCTTCGGAAATCTTGGGAATTTGGGAGGTTGGATGCTTGAGAGCTTTAGAGTTTCCAAGCTTTAAGGTTTTTGGGTGTGTGGAGTGAATTCTTTTCCAATTTGGGTGTGGAGACAATGAACGAGTGAATTGGTCCCCTGAAATGAATGCCTCCCCCTTCTATTTATAAACTTTCCAAGTCTTGATCTTGGATTTAATTAAAATCAAATCAAATAAATCCTTTCTGCCAAGTGTTGACACGTGTCCTTCTTGATGACTCGTCCGATTTTATTGAGTCACACACCATATGTACAATTTATGCTACACGTGGCGCATGCCATGTGCCCTAACACATCGAAACTTTAATGCATTGGTCCACATTTATTTCACCGAAATTTCGATGCTTACAAATGCCCCCATTTCAAGGCGCGTCGTATACATGTGTTTGACACGTGTAGAAGATGTGTTTTGAAGTCCCTTGCTTATTGAATGCATTTGACCACAATGCTTTGAAGTCCCTTAACGTAAATGCTGATTCAAGGGCCGTCGAGGCTTGATTCTTGAATTGGGCTGAAAGTTTCTTCAAGGGCCATAGAGGCTTGGTCTTGAATTGGGCTGGTAGTTTCTTCAAGGGCCGTAGAGACTTGGTCTTGAATTGGGCTAGCATTTTTTTCAAGGGCCTTTAAGGCTTAATTTGGAATGAAATGGGACCACGAGGAGCTTCACGTGGTGAGTGGTCTTTGATTTTGTTGGGGACGAATTGGCACGTGTATTTATTATGCTTGTTAATTCTCCGTGAGCTTGGTGAAGAACATGAGTGTTTTATTTGGCCATAGAGCTTTCTTATTTCCTCCAAAGGTTTGGATTTACTTCATTTCTTTGGATTTAATTTGATCCAAGGGTGGTTGACACTTAATCTTGAATCAAACTTATCATTTCTTCAAAGGTCGTCGAGGCTTGATCTTGAATGAAATGGGACCATGAGCGGTTTCACTTGGTGGGTGATCTTCGGCTTTGTTGGGGACGAATCGGCATGTGTATTTGTTATTCTTGTTGATTCTCCACGAGCTTGATGAAGAATACGATTGTTTGGATGTTTGAGAAAGTTTTGGATGTCCGGAGTTTCGACTTGCTTTCTTTTGCTCCTCCCCTTGATTATCCTTTAGGCTGATACGTGTCAACGCAATACTTGAATTTTTTGTGGGCTCATCATTGATCCTTCTGCTTCAGTGTTTTGCATAGCAGAAGTGGTGATGTTCCTTTACTCTTGTCGGTAATAATGGTGTAGTTGGAACTACAAAATTCACACGTTTCAACTTTGTCAGAGATCTTTGACAAAGTTACCCTTGATATCCCAAAAGCTGAGATTGCATCTGAAAAGTGCCAACAAACTTTATTCAGGAAAGGCTTTTGAAATTCAAAGAGCGGTGCCTCTTTGATTTCTAAATAAGTGGTCATGTTGCATCTTCTTTTATAGAGGCATCAATTGTGTTCAGAAAACACACTGAGACAATTGCTGTGTGTAGATTTTTTTTGCACTTCTGAGATTTATCAGACCTATTTTTTTCTTTATTATTTCTGAAAATGACTTGTCCATCTGACCGTCGTTTTGATTTGAATGTTGTGGAAGATGCAAACATGTCTCCTCAAGACAACATATGGCACCCATGTCAAAGCAGTTTAATCAAATTTGACAATTTAAAAAAGGACAAATGTTTAGCCTAAAAGATATAAATAAAATTGTAAAGGATTCTAATTTCCTCAAAAAAAAAAAAAAAAAAAAAAAAGAAAAGAAAAAAAAGCAAATTACCACAAGCGTCAGCGTGCAAGTTAATGATAAGCATAGGGATCAAAAGAAATTTATCCACTAACGTTAGAACTTTTTAACTTAGAAGTTTATTAGACCGGGTTTAACATTGTAATGCAAAAGATTGAACCGGTCCATTATGTGTCTTTCCCCTACATAATTATCTTCTCCTCCGCTCCGTTACACGAAGACAATAAGAGAGAGCGACGGCGGTGACCAATCCAGATTTCCGTTTGTTTCCCCCCAAAAAACAATCGCTCGCAATTCTTCTTCAGGAAACACCTTCTTCCTCGTCTGTTTTTGTTTCTCCTCGATTTAGATCCGTTAATTTTCGGATCTAGGGTTTCGAAGGGGGGCGAGATGTACAACGGAATAGGGTTACAGACTCCGAGGGGGTCGGGGACCAATGGCTACATCCAGACCAACAAGTTCTTCATCAAATCGAGGACCGGGAAGGTCGCCGACTCCTCCCGTGGCTTCGACGACGACCAGGGTACCGGCGGCGTCACCAAGAAGCCCAACAGAGACATCCTCGAGCACGATCGAAAGCGCCAGATTGAACTCAAGCTCGTCGTCCTAGAAGATAAGCTCATCGATCAGGGTTTCACCGATGCTGAGATCGCCGAGAAGCTCGATGAGGCTCGGAAGACTCTCGAAGCCGCCGCCGCGGCTTCGGAAGAGGGTGGCGGACCCGGCGCCGTTGTGGTTTCTGATAAGAAGTAAGTTTTCTATCTCCTTTTTTTGGTTAAAAGTATGAAAACTTGAGACAAAGATTTCAATTTTGAATAATATTTAGTCTCTTATATTTATGATTAGTGTCATTTGGATGCGAATGCGACTTTGCTATGTAACAGTGTGATTAAAAGTTGATTAACCCGAAGAATATTGAACAACTTTGTATTTTGTTACTTAAATAGGGTTTCAGATACACAGACCCACCAAATTGCTGCTAGGAAGGAGAAGCAAATGGAAACATTAAGAGCTGCACTTGGGCTAGCTGCGCCCGAATCAGCTGACAAGAATACTGATGAGATCGAAGAGGGACAGATAAGTAGTCGAAAGAAAGGTCCAGAAGATGATGGCAAGTTTCAAGAGAGAAGTGAGCATGCATTTTTGGACAGGGACTACGTGCGGAACAAACATGGGGAGGAAAAGCAGAAATCTGAAAAGGATGATAAGAAAAAGAGTGTTAAAGAATCTAGGCGGAACAAGAAGGAGGAAAGCAGGAAGAGAAGGCATAAGTATGATTCTTCCAATACCGAAAGCAGCGGTAGTCCTCCTCCCAAGGCTGATAAAAAGAAGAGTCGTGGAAGTAGCAGCAGTGACGAAGATGATTCTGAAGTTGAACTTGACAAGAAGCACAAGGTTGCGAAGAAGCATGAGAAGAGAAGAAGTAAGAGCTCTGATGATTCTGATTCTGCTTCAAGTGATGATGATGCTAGGAGGAATGGTGCAAGAAAGAAAGTTGAAAAATTCAAAAAGCCTCAAAGGAGGCAAGATTTAGATGAAGATGATTCTGAAGCTGATGTTGGAAAGAGGCAGAAGGTTGTTAAGAAACATAGTAGGAGCAGAAGGGATGGCACTGATGATTCTGATTCTGCTTCGAGTGACGATGATGCACGGAGCGGCGGTGCAAGAAAGAAAGTTGAGAAATTCAAAAAACCTCAAAGGAGGCACGATTCAGGTGAAGATGATTCTGAAGCTGATGTTGGCAGGAAGCAGAAGGTCGTTAAGAAACATAGTAGGACCAGAAAGGATGACACTGATGATTCTGATTCTGCTACCAGCGATGAGGATGCTAGGAGGGACAGTTCGAGAAAGCAAGTAGAGATATTTAAAAAACCTCAAAGGAGGCATGACTCAGATGAAGATGATTCTGAAGCTGATGTTGGCAAAAAGCAGAAGGTTGATAAGAAGCATATTAAAAGTAGAAGGTATGAGACTGATGATTCTGATTCTGCTAGCAGTGATGATGGTGCCAAGGACAGATCCAGAAGGGAAGTAGAGAAATCCAAACTATCTCGTAGGAGGCATGATTCAGATGAAGATTCTGATTCTGAAGAGAAGGGGTTAAGATCTAATGCTGTTGAAGGTTATGAAATAAGTCGTCAAATTGATGATGACAGGTATTGTCCAAACAGGGATGATCAGAAGTATTCAGGATTGGAAAGACCTAGAGGAGGGCGCGAGGACAAAATTTACAGCAAAGATGTTGAACCAGAAGGGGGTAGTATAAGAGTTAATCAGGATTATGTAGAGAGAGGAGTTAAAACCTACACCAAGGATGATCAGGAACACAAAGCGAGAAAGCATGGAAGGTATGAAGAGGATGATGTAGGGCATGGAAGGCACATCAAGGATGAAGAGCACAGGGGAAGGAAGCATGGAAGAGACGAAGAGGATCGTGGAGGGCGTGGAAGGCACAACAAGGATGAAGAATACAAGCGAAGGAAGCATGGGATAAATGAAGAGGAAACTGAGTACAGAAAGGTGGAGGATAACAAAGAGGAGCTTGGAAATAGAAAACCTAGAAAAATGGAGGAAGAACGGGGAAATAAGGATATGGATAGAGACATGGATTACATGAGAGCAAAATATGATGATTCTCGATCAATTGAGAGGAGGCGCGAAAGTGAAAAACGTAATGGAAGAGATGGAGAGGATCGTGGAGGGCGTGGAGGGCGTGGAAGGCATGATAAGGATGAAGAGTATAAGGGAAGGAAGCATGGAAGAGATGAAGAGGAAAACGAGTACAGAAAGGTGGAGGATAACAAAGAGGAGCTTGGAAATAGAAAACCTGGAAAAATGGAGGAAGAACAGGGAAATAAGGATGTGGATAGAGACATGGATTACAGGAGAGCGAAGTATGATGATTCTAGATCAATTGAGAGGAGGAATGGAGAGGATGTTGAAGAGGAGCGTGGGAATAGAAGGCCGGGAAAAGTAGAAGAAAGAGGAAGTAAAGAGACTGAAAGGGATAGACACCTTGATTACAAGAGAGCAAGATATGATGATTCTAGATCAAGCGAGAGAAGGAGATATGGAAGTGACAAACATAATGATGGTCGTTCCAGGCATCGAGACTGATATGGTGGTAAGGTATATACTATCCTCTATTGAACTTTACATTCACTGATATTGTGGCATCGGGAGTACATTTAGTTGTCATTCTCTGCGAAATCTGGAAAACCATTTGTTTTGTTACTGAAAAACCTACTGTGCATAGATTGCCATGCTTTTATCTCCACGTTTATACTGTTTTAATAACTGTGTTGTACGCTAGCTTCCTTTTTGCAAAGCAGAGAATCCTGTAATGAGAGTAGTAAACCTCTGATCAAACGTACTGGTTTATAACTTTATCTGCAAGAAAGTATGCCTTTATATATTATGGCAGCGGCACGCTCGTAGTGTCCACATGGTATTTCTATTAAGTCAGTTTTGGCTCTTTGCAACTCATCTTCTACCCATGGTTTTCCGAATCAAGTGTTTAACGTTAGCAATATACGTTTCTAATATTGGTGGTTCTAATCCTGACATTAGTTATGTTGCAGGTTTTTATCGTGCCTAAGGCCTGTCAATGCTTGCTAAGACAATGGAGTCATTGACTACTGGGAGCTGAATGGAGATGGAATATTAGCTTGATAAGTTCACTGCATCGCACTTTGAGTTGTAATGTTTTGGTTGGATCTGTATGAAGATCGTGCAACTTATTTGTAGTATGGTTTAGTATCGCAGTTTATGTTATGCGGCAACGTTTTAGCATTTTTGTTGGCCATCAGATCGAATGGTGTGATTTTATTTAGATATTTTCGCGAGTCTTATACTCGCCTCATTACAGGCATGCACGGAATACTTGGAGTTTGTTATCTGTAAGAAAATGAAATCTGGTGGTGTTGGCCTTATATCTGGATGCCATGGAAAAATGGAACCGTTGTGACCGTTGTGACCGTTGTTGACGAAAAGCTAGCCTGGCTTAATCCTTTTCTGTTTCTTTTGAAACAAGCATCATATGCATAATTGGTAAAACCTTGAGCATGTCAACCGTACAATCTTCACTTGTAGGGATGGGTCACCATTAAGTCCATAATTATTAGGGATTTGATGCAAATATGAAGGTGTCACGAAATATAAGCCAACTATATTCAGAATTGGCTACAATACTTACACGTATTTAATACGATCACCATCTGATTGTTGGACCTCCGCGAAAATTTCCTAAAGAGCTTGTGTAGGTTACTCTCAAGTCCAGCACCGGGCATCTAAACATAATTTCAGACATGAAAATGGTCCGAAGAATAGAAGTTTGACTTTTGTATGCACAAAATGTACACCTCCTTCCTTCTTCCCAGTAAGCTTGGGACCGTTGTTAGGCTCCGGCGGTCGTCCATTTCTAAGGAAGAAAGGCAGGGCATTATTCTTCCCTTCCCTTCCCTTTTCCTTATGATGCACTTGAATAAGTAATTTGGCTTCAAATTGATAGGGACTTGATTCGAGCAATTCAAACTAGATGAATGAAATTGAGTTCAAAGTATAACTACACGAGCAAAATTGTCCTTTCATCTTCTTTTCAAAACACTGTTGAAATATGGTCATGTACAGATCCCTGGAATCCCTTGGTGAACTGATACACTTGAGATATCTTGATTTATCTTGTAATCCCTTGGAGGGTTTGCTGAACAATGTGCCCAGGTTACGCAATCTGCAAATATGTGCCCTCGCTTGTTGCAATCGGCTTTAAATTAGATGGCAAGGTCACCTACTGAAAAAAGGGGAATACGAACTGTCAAGCACAGATAAGGCTGCATTATCAGTTGTGATTTTTAATATAATTTCGGACACGAAAAATGGTCGGAGGGATAGAAAATCTACCTCTCTCTATGCATGAATGGACCACTTTTTGAGACATCCTGTAACTGTTCATCAATCCATTTTCCATAATCTTGTAGTAGTTGCTGCAGAAGCAATGGCACCAGCCGATCTACCAACGCTTGCATCATTCTGCATTGTCATCACACTTCCACAGTTAGCAACAAAGATGCATTCTCAACATATAAATACCTAATTTGCAAGTATTTTCTCTATTTTCGGTTATTAAATCGGTGTCTAAACCTTGAATCTCTACCCTCACCACGCAAGTTGCATATGCCATGCTATTTGAGATAAGGCTTGTGGGTTGGGACAAGGAAATTCTCATTCGCAACAAAATGGCACAAAGAACCCTAAGTGCTAACCAAGGAACCATCAAAATGTCTCTTCCGGAAAGCTCAACTGAGCCACAGGGCCTTATATATCCGAATGAAGTTTATTTAATGGAGTGCTTACAGATTTCCAGGACGCTCAACAGCTGATACCGGCATCATATTAAAGGGGCGTGTATATATCTGCATGAAAAACATGATGATGTTTTGAACCATCGGCTATTGAGCGAAAAGAAAAAAAAATTCAAGGGGAAAATTAACAACCTCAAGTGTGAGTTGCAACTTCACATCAACCTCCAAAAACGATTCAGAGTTGTTCGTGTCCCACGACATGTGATTAGTCATGAATGCTGTACAAAGAAACCACAGATTAAAAGAAAATTTTCTGCTGAGAAGCTGACAGTTTTCTTGTAAAATTCTCTATTCCCATGGACTAAAATCCTAGTCCTCCAGAAGTTACGAGATTCTCACCGAATTATTATTCACCTGAAAAATGGCTGTTTTGGCGTTCCAAGGCTTCCGAACCCTCAAACTGCAAACCATGATAGGTAAATACTTCAGTGAATAACTTGATACAAAAATTAGTTCTCTGAAGGAGCTTCTGCAACAAACGGATGAAATGAAACTTACCCTGCAAGAAAGCATCTCAACTATACAATCTTCATTTGTTGGGGTTACTCTCAAGTCCAGAACTGGAGCAGCTTCATAATTCAAAAGCTTAAGTTTTGGCAGAGTGCACCTGCACAAACAACCACGGACATGCATTTTATGAAACAGAAACTTGGCTCGCGTACTTTCACTTTGATTTCAACTTCATCCATGTAGTTTCAATTGTCCAAATCAAGCCCTCCATAACTAACAGTGAGTCGCTCGCAATCTTGTCCAAAATTACAGTTAATCAATTTGAAACAAGCAAAAGAACTTACTTCGTCCAAGTTTTTCAAATGAACACAACAAATAAAGGCTCCTTGAAAACAAAAATTAATGCATATGGAGGAAGTAACTAAAAACGATATGGTTATCAAACGGGTCCTAAACAAGCAAGAGGAAGAGAATGCTGACCTATAAGTATCAGCATCAAGGGATTGAAAACTTTCCAAGGCTCTGGTGTTGAGCATGGCTTCAATTCCTGATTGGTGGCTCAAAAACTCACTGATGTGAAAACTCTTGCTTCCGACATCGTAACTTGGCAGCTTAATTCTTTCCTTCTTTGTAGCACACAAATTTGCTACTTTATTTCCATTTGACTCTGAACTTATAAACTTCGTTGCTTTTGAAGTTGGCTTTATCACCTCAATTTTCTTCCTGCAACAAAATTAACAACTTTCTCAAATTATAAGCAAATACTATACTTCCTACACTCCCTGGTTACTTTCATACAAAACAATGCAAGGAGCTTGTAGCTCAAAGCGGTTAAGAGCATTTACCCCGCATTCGGGATTCTGGGTTCGAATTTCCCCTCCCAATATCACTTGTATCAAAACGAATGATTGAAAGACATAGCGGACTTTGACTCGGCCAAGTTGGCTACAACAACATGCGCTCTCCCACTTTTTACCAAAGTTCGGATCTCCCTCCCCGTAGTTTAAATTAATTAAGTGTAGATTATGGCTAGAATTAGAAAAGGGAAAAATTGAAGAGCATAAGAACCTGGTGTTGAAGATAGGAATAGCAGAGGATGGGAATGAGGCACAGCCATGCAGTACTCCTTCATGCCACTTGATTGTTTGTGTCATCATATACTCAGAAGAATAAAAGAAATTGTAGCAAAATTATTATTATTATTTTAATTTCTGTTTGGTTGACGAGAAAAAATGGAGAGAAAGCTCGCCAGTTTGTAAGCTGGAAGAAGGAAGAGCTAAGCAGTGCATTCTTGTGTTGTGTTGAAAATTACGGAAATGCCACTGGAGTGCATGAGGCCATTCAGATTTCAGATAAGGTAGGAGCAGTGGGAGTAGGATGATGAAAATGAAAGCCATTGACAACTCAGCGCAAAATAATTCATACGCTACAGAACTTTACAGTTTTGCTAGTGAAAAAAAATTGACGCTTTACCGTAAAATTAATTAACAATACGAAGAGTAGTTTAACTTCTTCTAAGTATTGTTCTAAAAATCCCAACTAGCTCCACCTAGGCACTAGGTAGGCTGGCCACCGCTCTGATGATTCCCTAAGGTACCATTTGGTATGTGGGATGGGATGGAACGGAGTGGGACGAGGCGTTCCGTCCCACATTTGATGCGCCTAAAACGGATGGAACGCGTTGTTCCACGGTACGAATTTTTGGTGAATTTTCATTCCGCCTCACCCCCTGGAACTACTCGTTCCACATTCGTGGAACATAAAATTATAACCTCTTCATCTCCTTCTTCCTCCTTGTTTCCATCCGAGGGCATCTTTGCTCCCTCTCTGTTCCGTCCCGTCCCATTCTGTTCCGTTCTGTCCCGTCTGGTCTTCATACCAAACGATACCTAAGTACTAGGTGGCTTGCAGAATTTGGTCCCTCACTAATGTAGGTCTCACATATTATTCATCATTTTGCAATCTTCTCGTCAGTTATATCAATGTATGAATAGTGGTGTTAGGTCAATTAACTAAAACAATATGCCTGCTCTCTTGCACCTATGTTCGAATATTCATTTTTAAGTTATGTTGATGCACAAAATCAGTGAGGACTTTGGTACAACAGAAAGTGTTAAGTTTGTGACATTCGCTAAATTGCTCCGGTCACTAGTGTGGATAAGTATGCAAATGGATAGAGACAGGGAAGCAAACATAAGATGTACGTGGTTCACCCAGATTGGCTACGTCCACGGAGTAGAGGAGTTCTCATTAATTGTGAAGGGTTTACACAAGTACATAGGTTCAAGCTCTCCTTTAGTGAGTACTAGTGAATGATTTAGTACAAATGACATTAGGAAATATTGTGAGAGAATGATCTCTATTTATAGAAGAAAGTTTCTAATTTCATTTTGACATTGACACGTGTCGTGTTGTGATTGGCTTCTGATGTTGACACGTGTCGCACTATGATTGGTTTCTGATGTCGACACGTGTCGCGATGTGATTCGCCTTCTGGTTTGAGTGAAACTCTTCTGGGTGCTTGACGGTATAACGTTGACCGGTGCTCAATAGTTTTAGGATCGGTCAAGTATGGTACAAACAGTGCTCCTCTAAGTTCCCGAGTGAGGGAAGCTCCTCGGTTGAGGACTTGCAAAATCCAAGCCATTGAGTAATCATGAAACTTCTAAGTACCGAAGTGTGGTATCATTTTCACTTGCCTTATCTGTCTCACACGTAGATGTGACATCTTCTCTGGAAGTACTTTTCCTCCATCTATGTGTGGTATCTTTAACCGATGAAGATGCACAAGGTAATGTATCAATTTCACTTGAAACTTACATGTAATTTCGGGCTTGGTCAAGTGCGATACAAAACCCTATAGTAGGAGTCCCCTAAGTCGTCGAGTTAGGAGATTTGCTGAATGAGGTAATAGACAAGGTAAGCAATCAGACTTCCAAGCAAGCAACCTGGATCGGAGGTTCAACTTCGGCTTCCGGTTGATTGTTCTCATTCTCCTTGTGTCGTAAACAGCAACAAGATTAAGGAGAAGCAAATGGAGAAGAGATGATATGAGATACTTTGGCTTTTGAAGAAGTAACTTTGCACAGGCTTATTCTTGAACTAGGCTGGAGGGTTTTCTAGTTTCCTCCAGAATATAAGGCTGACTCAAGAATTTGAGGGTCAAAACAAGTTCATCAAATCTACAGTACGTTCGACCCTGATGATGTGGGATACTTTTTCTATTGACAAAGTAGTAGATGTATCGGCACGTGTTCTGTTACGCTTGTCTCCACATGCTTCCTTATATCCTTCTCACTTGCCCTATCTGTTCCTCAGGCAGATGTGGTATCTTCTCTGGAAGCATAAGATGTTGAAGATGAGTACTCGAGAGCAATGCCAGGAAAGTAATCAGGCAAGGGGTTCCAGGCAGTTAGTTCCTGACTGGAAGCTTGATTCCAAGTGCTGACTAATTGCTCTCTTTCTCCTTGTCTTGCAGGTAAGAACAAGGCCAAAGGAAAAGACAGGGAAAAAGCATGATATGGGATACTCTTGCTTTTAACCCTGATGATATGAGATAATCTTGCTCTAGTGTGGCTTGTTTGCAGAGGTATTATCGGGAGGAAAAGAAGCTGAGTATTTCGAAAGACTCTGCTGAGAGTGCCCTCTCAGATGTGAAGAAAAGTTGAGCATTTTTTTATTTGCAGGTCTGCCTGGCTGTGGAGGATGAAGGTCAACATATATAGGAGTCTCCCTAATAACAAGTAGTAGTGATATTCCTTTACCCTTCTTGGTCATAGCAATGTAGTGGGAGCTGCAAGTTTCACGTGTTTTAACTTTATCAGAGCACTTTGAAAAAGTGGCATGTGGTATCTGGAAAGCTGATGTTGCGTGTGAAGATTGCAGACAAGCTTTATCCAAGGAAATCTGGCTCTCAAAGTTCGGAGAGCGGTGCCTTTTTGATTTTTGAACTAGCAATCATGTTAGGGATCTGGCTTTCAAGATTCAGAGAACGATGCCTCTTCGATTTTTGAGAAAGCAATCCTGTTAAGAGTCTGACTCTTGAGGTTCGGAAAGCAGTGTCTCTTCGATTTTTGAGAAAGTAATCCTGTTGGGAGTCTGGCTCTCCAGATTCGGAAAGTGGTGCCTCTTTGATTTTTGAGCAAGCAATCTTGTTAGGAGTGTTTTCTCGAATGTGAGTAAAGGTTGGACATTTTTGCTAGTCTGCCTTGTCACGGAGCACGGAGGTTGACACACATTGGGACTTTCTAGTTATCAAGAAGTGGTGTTGTTCCTTTACCTTTGTGGGTAATAGTAGGGTAGCTGGACCTTCAAAATTTATGTGTCTAAACTTTGTCAGAGATCTTTGGCAAAGTTATCCGTGGTACCCGAGGAGCTGATGTTAAGTATGGAAAGTGGTGCCTCTTTGAAATCCGGAGAATGGTCCCTCTTTGATTTTTGAACCAACAGCCATGTTGCCCTTTCTTTTATAAGGGCACCAATTGTGTGCAAGAAGTACATTCAGAAAGTTATTGTTTATAGGAATTTTCCCCTTACTTCAGAGATTTATTACGCCTCATTTCTCCTTCATCATTTATGAGAATGTCTGGCCCATCCGACCGTCGTTTTGACTTGAACTTTGGTGAAGAGGCAGCCATGCCTTCTCAAGACAACATACGACGCCCATCATTCTTATCCCCTACTGGTCCTCTTACCGTTGGGGACTCTGTGATGAAGAATGATATGACCGTTGCGGTGGTGGCCAGGAACCTTCTCACTCCCAAAGATAACATACTACTTTTCAAACGGTCTGATGAGTTGGTTGTTAAGGATTCTCTGGCTCTCAGTGTTCAGTGTGCGGGTTCTGTGTCTAATATGGCCCAACGCCTATTTGCTCGAACTCGCCAAGTTGAATCATTGGCGGCTGAAGTGGTAAGTCTCAAACAGGAGATCAGAGGGCTCAAGCATGAGAATAAACAGTTGCACAGGCTCGCACATGACTACGCTACAAACATGAAGAGGAAGTTCGACCAGCTGCAGGAATCTGATGGTCAGATTTTACTTAATCATCAAAGGTTTGTGGGTTTGTTCCAAATGCATTTATTGCCTTCGTCTTCTGGGGCTGTACCGCGTAATGAAGCTCCAAATGATCAACCTTCGGTACCTCCTCCTTCTGGGGTTCTGCCTAGTACTGAGGCTCCGAATAATCACCCTCTGATGCCTCCTCTTTCTGGGGCTCTGCCGACTGCTGAGACTTCTCCTGAGCAACCTTTGTGAATGCTCCTCCCTCTTGTTTGTTTATTTTGATTCATGTATATGTACATATTTGTAACTTATCGGAGATATCAATAAACAAGCTTTGCTTCATTTCAACGTATTGTGTTAAATACACCAAGGCATTCTTCACTAAGTTCTTGAATTTTTCCTTTTGTTGAAGCTTGTATGTTGAAGCTTTGTGAGTGAAGCATGTAGGTTGAAGTAGTGCTCCCTTAATTTTCCGAGTGAGGAAAACTTCTCGGTTGGAGACTTGAAAAAATCCAAGTTACTGAATAGTCGTGAGACTTCCGAGTATCAAGGTGCAGTAGCATATGGTAGGAGTCCCCCAAGTCTCCGGTCGAGGGAGTTGACGAAAGAGGTTTCCTACTAGTAGCTAAGTTCCAAAGTAACAAAACATCACCATTTTCCTTTCTAGGTGGTAGCCCAAAACCCCTCATTCACATGTATTTGTTATGAAAGTTGTTAGGCCCAAAGAAGAGGAGACCTAGGCATTTTTTTTTTTTAATTTTCAAATTTTTGAATTTTCGAATTTTTAAATTTTCGAATTTCCGAAAAAAAAAAAGTGTATATATATATATATATATATATATATATATATATTAAGCTTTATAGGTGAAGCTTTGTAGGTGAAGTTTTGAGGTTGAAGCTTTGTTGGGTACCATGAATTGATTTTGCTTCACACTATCTTGATCAAGATAGTGTGAAGCTTTTGTAGGTGAAGCTTTTGTGTTGAAGCTTTGTAGGTGAAGCTTTTGCGGGTGAAACTTTGTGGTGGGTGAAGCTTTTGTGGTGGGGAAGCTTTTGTTGGTGAAGCTTTTATGGGTGAAGCTTTTGTAGGTGAAGCTTTTGTGGTGGGTGAAGCTTTTGTGGGTGAATCTTTTGTTGGTGAAACTTTTATGGGTGAAGCTATTGTGGGTGAAGCTATTATGGGTGAAGCTTTTGTGGGTGAAGCTTTTGTGTTGAAGCTTTGTAGATGAAGTTTTGTAGGTAAAGCTTTTGTGTTTAAGCTTTTGTAGGTGAAGCTTTGGAGTTGAAGCTTTTGTTGGGTACCATGAATTGAGTTTGCTTCACACTATCTTGATCAAGATAGTGT